GGAGTGGTTGTTACGGGGATTTAGGTGAGCTGCATGTTATGAGATGATTCGCAGCTAGCAGAGTCTCCTTCAGAGTACTTGTACTTTCTTTTCTGTCCAAATTTGTATTCCGGAAAGTTATTGTATTTTATTTTATTTTCTAGTAAGTGATCATGCACCTGTGATACCGTGTTCTAGGATGATTATGGGATATTCAGTATTGAAATTCGGAAAACAATATTATTATTATGTAAAATGCATCTTTTAATACTTAAACTGAAGGAATTTATGATTTCAAAAATATTAAAATGAGAACTTAATTAACTATTCAGTGTTGGCTTACCTGACACTGGTGTCTGGTGCCATCACGGCCTTAAATGAATTTTGGGTCGTGACAACCTGGACGGAACACGCTTTCAAAGCCCAGGTATTTGATGTTGTCATAAATTCCCGCGTATTTCCTGACTAGCTTACCATCATCAATACCAACTTCTGGGTCAGGGCTCTCCACTGGAAAAAGGTCTGGTACCACATCCTAGCATGAGCTGGCACAACCCGAATGCCATAATTACATCCTGGTACTACATCCGGATCGGGATCAATGCGCTCATATTCCTCCTCCACTGGAGTGAGGGAGGTTCCCGCCTACATCCTCAACGGCTACTAGAAACAACCTCTAAGGTACCTGTGTTAGAACCTTTGCTAGGACAAGGAGACATTGTACCTACACAAGACGAACAATATTAGTCACAACACTTAAAGCAAAAACAAGACCAAACGGGGAAACCACCCCACACTTCTGTTATTGGCAGGTTCACAAGTACAATGTATATAAGGGGCTCAGGCTACCCCATTGAAAGACTACCAATACAATATTCCAACAACATAACCACGGACTACACTAGTGTAAAAGACAAAATTAAGAAACTAAACTAGTAACTAAGAAAAGAAGAGTAAGAAGTTAGTCTAATTTGCTACTAACAAAATTAAGATATGATACAACACTACACAAGTACTTAACATGAATCAGACACTCCAATTAGCACTAGCAACATATTAGCATGGGGTGGTCAATCGATTAAAAGCCGGGGCTAACTTGTTAAAGTTTCACACATAAGAACATAATATCACACCCCATACTTATTATCAAGTATCACAACTCACAAAGCACCTCACTTCTAAATTAGCAACACTACACAATTTTTGGTCACTAAAGCATTCAACAAACATATTGTGGTCATTCCTGCACCATCTTATTTTAATTCAAATTGGGTTAGAATCACCATACAACCATATCAAATACACTACTCACCACAACCACAACATCACCCCCTCTCCACAATAGCACCGCGTTCACAAATTTTACACAAACTTCATTAATTTTTGGCCACATGAGCACCCCCACGAAGCTTCAACATAAATTAATTTTACACCATCAAAACACACAAAAAATCACCCATAATCATAAGAACAATAAAAACCCCACAAGTTAAGAACCATTTTCGGCCATAGTAAGCAAAGAAACTATAAAACAATTAGCACAACTACACCATCAAGTGATGTGGTGCAGTGGATGGGGCTGCTCCTCTCTTAAACAGAGGTCTCGAGTTCGAGCCCTGGGTATGGAAAAATTCTTGGTAGGGAGCGGTGCTCCCCGAATGAGGCCTTACCCGGCAGTCTAGCTCCAATGCGGGTACCGGACACCGGGTGGAAAACTAAAAAAATAATTAGCACAACTACAACTACCTAGGGTTTTGTTTAATTAAGCTAAAATTAACTAGACAAATAAGAAAAGCTAAGAGAAATACAAAAGAAGAAATAAAGCTACTTACCTTGATGAGGAATGAAGATGGGAGGAGGATGAAAGGATAAAAGGTTTGAGGAAGAACAATGGAGGAAAGAAGGAGGATTTGGAGTGTGAGAGAGAGGAGAGAAAGAATAGAGTAAGAGAGATGTGGGAAAAGGGGACTGATCAGGGGTGTTAGAGTCTCCAATTAAAAAAATTTAAAATTTTCTTTTTTTTCTTTTCTTAAATAATTTGCAATGTCGCGTCACTAGGTGCGATGCCCCATGCGGCACAGTAGTGGGGTTTTCCAGAGAGTCATCTCTAACAGGTTTTGCCCATTTGGCCTAGTGCGGTGCCCCATGTGGCGCGCTAGGCCAATTTTGACAGAGTTCCGATTTATTCACTTTTTAGACTACGGGTTTCCCAGAAAGACTATTATTTACTTATTCTTTGTCCGATTCATGCACCTACTTGTTCAAACAATTATCAAAACTACTAAACTACAATTTTCTAACTATTCTACCAACTCAAGAAAAAGGGTTTTTAGTTATTCTGAGTTATGGTCGTCAGTTTGACTCCGTCACTTAGACTCAATTGATTACGATGCTAGAGGATTACTTTTCATATCCTCCAACAAGGTACTGTTTCAAACTGTGACCATTCACTTTAAAGCTTTCATTCCCTTCTTCATCCTGATATTCAATAATGCCATACAGTGAGTCATGTTTCACCACATACGGACCTATCCATCTTGATTTGAATTTTCCGGGGAACAAACTAAGTCTACTATTGTATAGCAAGACTCTGTCCCCTTAACGAAACTCCTTTGGCTTAATCAGACGATCATGCCACCTTTTTGTCTTTTCCTTGAAAATTCGTGCATTTTCATACACGTCCAATCGAAACTCCTCCAATTCATTCATCTGCGCCAACCTATGTTCACCTGCAAGACTAAGATCAAGATTAAGCATCTTAATTGCCCAATAAACTTTATGTTCTATCTCAACATATAGATGATACGATTTTCCATACACTAATTGAAAGGGTGAAGTCCCTATGGTTGTTTTGAACGTAGTTTTGTCGCCTATAGAGCTTCATCCAACTTTAAAGGCCAATTCTTACGAGAAGCACTAACCCGTCGTTTCAAGAATTCGTTTAAGTTCACGATTAGCCATTTCAAATTGCCCACTAGTTTGGGCATGGTACGGGGTTCTTGTTTTGTGTGTGACCCCATACTTGGACAATAGTGTAGCAAACTGCTTGTTCACAAAGTGTGACCCATTGTCACTGATAATCACTCGAGGTGTCCCAAAGCGGATAAACATGCTCTTTCGTAAAAACTCACACACCACCCGAGCATCATTTGTCCTAGTAGGGATTGCTTTGAGCCATTTAGAGACATAGTCAACGGCTACCAGGATATACTCATATGAATGAGACTATGGGAATGGACCCATGAAGTCAATGCCCCAAACATCAAAAAGTTTACATACCAGAATGGAGTTGAGTGGCATCTCATCCCTCTTACTAATGTTACATGCCCTTTGACACTTGTCACATGCAGCTACATATGCCCGTGCGTCTTTGTACAAAGTAGGCCAATATAAATCGGCTTCCATGACCTTTGCTGCAGTGCGATTTCCACCATAGTGTCCTCCATCTGCTCCATCATGGCAATGAGAAAGATTGCTTGCCATCTCTCTTTCAGGCACACATCTTCGAATTACACCATCTACACACAGTTTAAACAAGAAAGGGTCATTCCAAAAATAACTTTTTACCTCACCTTAAAGCTTCCTTCTTTGATCAAGAGAGAAGTCTCTAGGCCACCTTCCACTAGCCAAAATGTTGGCTACATCATCATACTAAGGCGGTCTTTCGGAGACCGCAACAATGGAGAAAATCTGCTCATTAGGGAACTCTTCTCTTACATCAAATGTTTCAACTGGCGATCTCTCAAGTCGAGATAGATGATCGATGACTTGATTTTTTGTGCCCTTCTTATCTTTGATCTCTATGTCAAACTCTTGGAGCAACAACACTCACCGCATCAGACGCGGCTTGGACTCCTTCTTACTCAACATATATTTATAGGCTGAGTGATCAGTGTGTACAATCACTTTACTCCCCACCTGGTATGATCTAAACTTTCCAAAAGCAAAGATCACAACAAAAAACTCTTTTTCAGTAGTGGTATAGTTGACTTGAGCATCATTCAACATCCTGCTTGCATAGTAGATGTGACTAAACATTTTATCTTTTCTTTTCCCCAGAACTGCTCCCATAGCTACATCACTAGCATCATACATTATCTCAAATGGCTGGCTCCAATCAGGTATCACCATAATAGGAGCACTCATAAGCTTTTCCTTTATCAATTTGAATGCTCTTAAGCACTCCACATTGAAAATAAACTTGACATCTTTCGCTAGCAATGCAGTCAACGGCTTAGTAATGTTGGATTTTTTTTTGATGAACCTCCTATAACACCTATTGTGTCCCAAAAAACTCCTTATGTTCTTCATAGAAGTCGGTGGAGGAAGCCTAGCAATTACATCAACCTTAAATCTATTAATTTCAATTCCATCTGTAGTTATTTTATGGCCCATGATAATTCCCTTTTTCACCATGAAGTGACACTTCTCCTAGTTAAGAACCAAGTGAGTGGCTCTACAACGTTCAAGCATGAGATCCAAATTTTTCAATCAATCCTCAAGTCCATCACCAAAGAGGGTAAAGTCATCCATGAATAATTCTAGATACTTCCCATTTAAATCAGAGAATATAGATATCATGCACCTCTAAAAAGTAGCAGGTACATTACACAACCCAAACAACATCCTCCTGCAAGCAAAAATACTTAACGGGCAAGTGAATGTGGTTTTCTCAACATCTTCTGGGGCAATGGGTATCTAATTGTAGCCTAAATACCCATCCAAAAAGCAGTAGCATCCATGTCCAGCCGCTTTCTCGAGCATTTGATCAATAAAGGGGAGTGGGAAGTGGTCCTTCTTTGTTGCATCATTCAGCCTTCTATAATCAATATACATTCTCCACTCAGTGACTGTTCTTGTGGGGATCAATTCATTGTCTTCATTTCTCACCATTGCCATGCCCCCCCTTCTTAGGTATAACTTATACTGGTCTAATCCACTAGCTATCAGAGATGGGAAAATCACTCCCGCATCTAGCAATTTGATGATCTCCTTGTACACTACCTCCTCCAAATGTTTGTTCAACTTGCATTAGGGCTGCACCACTTGCTTGCTATTTTCTTCCAACAGAATTTTGGCATGCAAATAGCTGGACTGATTCCTTTAATATCAGGTATACTCCAGTCAATGGCCTTCTTGTGCTTTTTCAGCAGCTCCCCCAACTTTTGTTCCTGTGTACCTATCAAGTCAGCAAAAATAATCACAGGAAAATTGTTAGTTTCAAGAAAATCATATTTCAAGTGAGTGGGGAGGACTTTCAATTCCACATCAGGCTTACAAGCCTCCTCTTTTAGTTCTTCATCATCAACCACTTGATCCTCAGTTTCAAGTACTTCAGCCTCTTTCCTTATTTCAGGATCTTCATCCTCCAATGTGCTGGACTACGTAATATCTCTCTCTAGAGTATCCCCCATAAGCTTGTCAAACTTGTATTTTTCAGCCAATTTGCCAATAACATCTAGCTTGAAACACGAGTAGGCGGATGCCTCATCACTGGGGTATTTCATCATCCTCTTCATCCGGAACACCACTTTTTCATTGCCCATTCTGAACATAAGTTGCCCCTCATAAATATCAAGGATAGCTGCCTGTACATAAAATGACCTCCATAGAATTAGAGGCACATCCTTGTTCACCTCCAGATCTACCACAATAAAGTCTATGGGGAATACAAATTTATCCACCCGCACTAGAATATCCTCAATGATTCCCTTAGGTAAAATGGTGATCTGGTCAGCCAATTGTAGTGACACTGGTATTGATTTGATCAATCCAAGCTCACCTTTCAGTTTCTTGAACGCGGACTGAGGCATTATATTTATAGACACACCAGAATCGTAAAGGGCCTTGTCAAATTTATCACTCCCTAATGAGCATGGTATGGTGAAGCTTCCTGGGTCTCTGCACTTTTTGAGAATTTTGATTTTCAATATGGCACTACATGGGCCATTCAGCTTGACAACTGTTGTCTTCTCTAATTTTCTCTTGCTAGATAAGATTTCCTTCAAGAACTTTGCATAAGCAAGCATCTGAGTGAGTACCTCTATGAAGGGAATGTTCACATAAAATTGTTTGAGTATCTCCAAGAATCGCCCAAAACATTTGTCAAGTTTCTCCCGCTTCATCTTTTGAGGGAATGGTAGAGCTGACATATGACTACTTTCTTCAATCTCCTTTTGTACCCCACTAATCTGGCCCTTTTGCTCTTCACTCTTTTTCTCTACTGGTGTCTCAGTCTGCTTGTTAACCACCTAAGGTCTAACTTTCAACATTGGGTCAGTTAGTGCTTTGCCACTTCTCAGAGATACAACTTTGATTATTTCCTTTGGGTTCTTTTCAGTGTCAGAGGGAAGAGTCCCAGGATCCCTCTCAAATAACAAATTTGCAATCTGTCCCATTTGGCTTTCTAAGTTCTGGATAGCAGTGCCCCGAGTATGGAATTTTTCATCTGTTTTATTGATGAATGCCTTCATGAGATCTTCCATACTTGACTGATTTGGTTGTGGTAGCTGGTATTGCTGCCTCGGCTGGTTCTGAAAACCTAGTGGTCCTTGATCCTGGAGTCTGGGATTATTTTGCTGGCATGAGTTCAAGCTCCCATTAGGTTAACTCCATAAAAAACTAGGATATCATTGACCCACAACATTATACTTGTTCCCACCTAGGTAGTTTCCTCTATTAAAGTTTCCCACAACGTTGACTTCCTTAGCTGTAGCTTGACACTCATGTGTAGGGTATCCCAATCCACAAATATTACATGTTACTTGCGGCTCACTCTGTACCTTGGCCAATATCAGCATTCTTATCCCCTTTGCCATTGTGTCTAGATGGGTTTGCATGGATGTGTTAGAGTCCACCTGGTGAACCTCAACGGATTTTCTTTTGTCATTACTTTCAACTGGCCACTGATTAACATCCTCAGATAACTCATCAAGGATTAAGACAACCTCCTCTAGAGTTTTCTACATTAATGGACCTCCACATGAAGTATTCAAAGTTCGTCGCAATGACGGTGTCATTCCACCCCAAAAATTCTGGAGTTGCATCCACAAATCAATTCCATTGTGCTAACACTTTCTGACTATCTCCTTGAATCTTTCCCAAGCTTCAAAAACCATTTCTCTCTCCTTCTGGTAAAAATTATGGATTTCCATTATGAACTTCCCTATTTTTGTAGGTGAAAAGTACTTGTCGAGAAACTTCCTGGTGATATCTTCCCATGTATTAATCGAACCTGTGGGTAAGCTACGAAACCATTGCTTCGCGTCATCTATCAATGAAAAGGGGAACACCCTTAAGTAGATTGCATCCTTTGATACTCCACTGTATTGGAAGTGTTCATGATTTCTTCAAAATCCATCAAGTGAGTAGTAGGATCTTCGTTCACCTTCCCTCTGAAAATGCCGTTGTTTTGGATAGTTTGAAGCAAGCCTTGCTTCAATTCAAAGTTGTTTGCTGCTATGGGTGGAGGTTTGACACTTGACAATCCTTGATTATAGACTGGCCTAGCATAGTCACCCAATGATCTTCCAGACCTGGGTGCTATGTTCTCGAACTGGTCTTCAACCAAGGGTCGGCTTAGATTGAATCTTCGACCCCCATCATCATTGACGGTCACATAAGCAATTCTCTGTGCAACTTTTTTTTTGTGCTGCCTCACTTGCAGCTAAGTCTACTCCATCATTCTCTTTATTTGCCATGGTATCTTGAGTCGAAGTTTGACCCAAGAATTTTCTGTTAATTCCCTTTCTTTTTTCAGTTGTCACATGTATTTTTCCAACTCTGGTTTGTATGGTATCACTTACTTTTAAGAAGACTGAGTCATGCACCTAAGGAATCAAACTTGTATCCTACACACAAGTAAGAAAATGTGAATGACTAAAGTAAAGATTAGTTCTTGAATTAGTACTAAAAACTATTTTAAATACCATTGATTGTCAATCCCCAACAATGTAGCCAAAATTTGACGAGCGCAAAATATAACACAAAATTATTGCTCGCTAGTCAAAGATAGTATAGTTTAATTATCGTCTCCACAGAGATTGGACTTAAACAGTATTCGAATAATCTTCAGTTGATTACTATCCATGAAAACTAACACTTGATGTGATGACTATTACTACGATTAATTAATAAAAATTAAGCAATTAACAATTGATGACAAAAGATAACAGATGAGCAACGAAGAAATATCAATGGGAGGAATAAGGGTATTTGACTAGATAGGTACAAGATAACTGACTCGAGATCCAATTCTTGAGTTAATTCACTCTATAATACTGTTTATTCTCACGAGTTCAACAGATAATTAGATTACACTTGAAGTTAATGTTCTTTTTTTGATTAAACGTTAATTTAGTAATTAATCAAATTGAAGCATGATAAACAATTGCAACAATAAAATGATGGTTATGATCTAAAGGGCAACTTCTCACGAATATTTTTCTATTTTTCTAGTTCGATTAACAATTCAAGAGGCTCATTCGATTACCTATTTGAATTACGATTTAAACTAGAGCATAAGATGTGAAGACATTCAGTATCAAACTCCTCTTTCGATTAAGCAAAATAATAAATAACTCCATAATACAAACTAAGCTCCATCAATTAATTCTAACAATTATCACGAATTGAATCCTTGATGAAGTTATCAGAACACTGTATCTGTGTACACTCTAATAGAAATTACTCCATGGCACTGGAGTGTGACATCTAAATAAGGTTCAAAAACAAAGTAAACACCAATTGTAATGATTCGATACAAACTTCTGTATTGCATCAATTGTAGGTTGAAATATTGATGAATTCTTGGGTCTTCTTGCCTTGGTTGGTTATCCCTTCTTTCGTAGGTAAAAAGTCCTCTCAAAATCGTGTTTTGGTATATTTATACCATGTGAAAATAAATCCGGACGAAGCTACCCTTTCCTAGCCAAACTTGGAAATCACTCTGACAATTTTGCATAGTCGCGCTGTGCCGCCCCATGCGGCATACTAGTGAGGAAATCCAGAGAGCTTGCACTTTTCTTGGGCTTCTACTGAGACTTCAAAGCTCGAACTTGTTCGATTTAGCTTCAAAATATCATAATAGCTCGAAATCATTTCCTCCAAGGCATAAAATACGTAATAAGCGTAATTCTCTTTCATTTAAGCTCAAACACACGTAAAATGCAATACTATGGCTAAAATACAAGTTTTTAGACTACCATCACTCTTCAAAAAATATGTTATATTAAGTGTATTTGCTTTGTTGAGCTTCGGCCCACATTATACATATTTCCTTTTTTTTTTTTTTTTTTTCATAGGCAA